AGCTGGATCCCGCGCGGGATCCAGCAGAGGTCAGATTGGCACTGTCTCTGTTCAAGCGCACAAAAGATGGATCCCGCGCACAAAAGCTGGATCCCGCGCGGGGTCCAGCAGAGGCCAGATTGGCACTGTCTCTGCTCAAGCGCACAAAAGATGGATCCCGCGCACGTAAGCTGAATCCCATGCCGAGACACATCTGAAGGCTTGCTTTCAAGCGCTTGAAAGCTCTAATCAAGCGCTTGAGCGCCTTTGTTGCGCAAGAAAGCCCGTTCTTGCGGGAGGCGTTTACCTGAGTGATTTCACACCAAATAAGTGGCATTGCTGAATCATGGTTCAAACAAGCGTGTGATGTGTGACCTTATTTAAGTGGGGTTGTTTTATTGGGTTCTCTCTCTTATAAAACCTTCTGTTCCACCTTTCGTTGAGGTTTGGCTCCGTTCCTGTTGCCCCTGGCCTTGTGCCAGGGGTGCCTTTTCCCTTATGTCACGCTAACCTGGTGGAGCTGGTCCACACCTGCTGTGTCTGCCTCGAGAATTCTTTGTGTGCTGCAGCCAAGCCAACACTCTGCAAGGCCCAAGAACAGCTAAGCAGCAGCATGAAGAGCAAGCAGAGTAGCAGTCCACTCGCACCCCATGCCCTGAGCTCGAGTGAACCTATCTCTTGTCGGATGGCTTTTGCCGACTCTGGACATAAAAACTTTCATGGCGCCACCATGGGGAAACGAACCCGGGCCCCCTTTGTGACAGGCAGGAATTCTAACCGCTTAACTACGGCGACGATGTATTGCCTGCTTCAAAAACATTAAAAGTGTAATGACAGTGCATGACAAGGATCTGATTCAGGCAAAAAAGTTTTGAATTTTAAGCTGAACCAGGTCAGCCTAAAAACTGAGTCAGGTTGCTTCCTCCTGGATCAGATAAGGTTAAACCTGAATCAGGTTCAGATCAGAAAAATCACACTCTCCAACGTAGTTTTGCATACGAGCCGCGTTAGAATTGCATAAAATGCCAAAGATACAAGAACAAGATACACTTCTCCATTGCCACAAAATGTTCAGGTTGGTAGAGCAGCATTGCTCAAAAATGGCTGAAAATCATGTAAGATTTGTCCATGGTATGATTTTTACTTCAATTTTCATCCTTAATGTCTCGTATGCATTGCAAGTCGAGTGCTAAGCAGACCCATGAGAGGAAGCATAACAAACAACACTCGCCTAGCCACTCAAGAATACAACAACATTCTGCATGGTGTCACGTTGTGACTATATATAGGGGGTGAACTTCTCGACTTTATCACTTGCCGCAGTGGACTAGTCGTTTTCACTGAAACATTGTGGCGCACTTTGCAACACATGGTTCACTTGGTGATGCAAATGCAGGAAAGGATGTATGTAGAAAAAAAGTTGGAGTGGCCTAAAAGAAAAGTAGCCAGTGGCCTGTTTAAATTACAAGGATCAATTGCAATTGTCTTTGTTGACCAACCATTCCATGAGGGCACTCATACTCGTCTAATAACTGTGTCTCAATCATTCACAATGGGCACTCAAGGGGTCGCACAAAAGAAAAGGAGAGTGGCAACGTCACAAGTATACAGATCAAGTCACAAAGGAAATACCTCCTCGCATTTATGCGCCCTCTCGTTTACAAAATCATGCAGGGAATTAAGCCCGCATACAAATGATAAGTTTGAAAGGTGCAAAGGAAGTGCACACATCGCAAGCGTGAGAAGCTCTTCTCACACCGAAGTGTGTCCAGACAAGAGTGGAAGGGCAGGTGTGTGGTACCGGTAACAAGCAGGCAACGAAGCACCGTGTGTGACAAACATCACACTGCTGTGAGCGTTATCAAGGAAGCAACATGATTAACCATATTACAAGCAAGCTCAGACACATGTCCAGCTCTGCATTATTCAATAAAAGAGGCTAAGAGAACACCAACAGAATCCAGGTCTAGGAACCCTGTAGAGCTCCAAGACGCACGTACAACCAGCGAGCGACACACATTTAGTACCATGGTAATCCAGCCAGCACCACTACTTTCAGTTCTTAGCAAACCACTTTCTACACCATGGTAACCTTAGCAACACCACGTACAACTCCTACTTAGCAAGAGTTTCCAATGTGCAACAGTCTCACAAGTGAGAGGAGCGACATAGCTGCTTAAGGAGCTTCTTTTGGCATGTGCCACCTAGGGCCGTCAGCAGCGTTCACAAGCTCAGTTTTTGTGTGGTATCACAATCTAAACGAGTCCTTTTGCAACTCATAGTGGAGTCTGTGGCAGAGGACTAAGCTGGCGAGGCATTAGAATGAGCAAAGGATCGCGGCATAAGAGCCAACATTCAGCGCTGGCACTAATAGTGTGCCCCACCAATGGAAGCAAGCTCTTGGGTGTCACCAATGGTGGTAACCAATCGTCCCAATAGAAATGCGGTCTTTATGGATGCCACATGCCATGCTGTGCTTGTTAGAGTAGGTGGAGTTGCGATACAGTGTAAAGAGAGCTTCAAGTATCTAGGTATGGTGTTCCATAAGTGTCAAAATATGGAGAAGTGTTCTGAGCAAGCCACTAGCCATGGCTGCCTCTGGTAACATTTCACAGTTTGTGCAAGATTATGAGTTAGAAAGCAGTCCCCAAGCCACCCTGTGGCTTGGAAAGACGTACTTGATTCCGGCAGCTATGTACGGTAGTTAAGTGTGGGGCACAGTCTTTGTGAAGCAAGGGACAGAGTTTAAAAGCGTGCTGCAGGTCAGGCACTTGGGTTTCTTGAAGCGCACTCTAGGTGTGAAGCGTACTACTCCTAAGTGGACAGTGCTGCGCGAGTGTGGCCATGAGCCCTTACAGTTCTTTTGGTTCAGATCTGTGATCAAGCTGTACAACAGTATGCCGGACTGCAACAGCACAACCCTTAAGAAGGTATTTTAGGCTGATTCCAATATGCACTCCAGGGCTTCTCGGTGTTGGACTGCCCAGATGCTAGATGGATTTCAAGGGTTGCGGAAGTGTGATGAGTAGGCGGAAGTGTGCAAGCAGTATGGAGTGGTGCACTGATCAAGATTCAGGAGTTTGCTGGTGATCTGAGACTGAGACTGCGGGTCGTCTGAAACACTGCTGCTACCAATGTGATGAGCGTGCCTCGGAACTCTGTGTCCCTCTATCAGTCTTATCTTGGTGTTCCTTTTCATCAAAATCTGCCTGCCCCAATGCAAACTCCTCGCCACTTATCTTTGAACCTCTCTGGCCATATCTTGCATAATGTTAGTTGATTCAAATTGCGTGCTCACACCCTGCGTGTTGACAGAGCTATTAGGTCTTAGGGTGAGAAGTCTGTCGTTTGTGATAGGTGCCACCTGCAGGAGGATCAAGATGAGGCTCACGTCCTCTTTAAGTACCTGTGCATCTTGCACGTCTAGTGCATGCAGGACAATGCACATGGCAAGCAGCGCTATGCTGTGCAGTTCTGCACAGCCGAGGCAGCGACAACAGTGTGCGCGGGGTTCCGCACCAGCAGCAACGCAGCACAGGCAGTCTTGGCGCAAAAGGGGACGCACCTGCAGAACGTGCTGGTGGACCTGGCCATCCAGCTTCAGCAAATAGGACGGGGGCAGGGTGGGTTTGAGGAGCTGGTGGTGCTCGCCTGAGGAACGAGAGTACTGGTCAAACGTGGGGAAGGGGAGCTGGTTCCCTATCCCTTCCTCCAGCACCTGCCTGCAGGCCGTCTCCTCAACCCTGGCCAACCCTTCCAGCACCTCACTGCAGGCCGAGTGGGGCAGCATCTCAAGCTGCTGCCCTGCAAGCCTGCACCGCCAGTAGCACAGGCGCCTACCTCACCTGCCCCACCACCACGCACATCATCATCATCATCATGAGCAGCAGCAGCTGTGCCTGCTCCACCACCAGCACGTGCACCAGCAGCAGCAGCAGCAACAATAACAACACGAGCAACAACAGCAGCAGGAGCAACAACAGCAGGAGCAACAACAGCAGCTGCAGCAAGAGCCTCAGCCACCCCAAACAAGCGCAATATAACACTCGTGAAAAGGCAATGCCTGGGATGCAAGGGATGGCATTCGTAAGCATTATATTGTAGCCCAGGATGTGGAGTATCTCCAGCCATCCGTGGGTTCTCCGCGTAGATGTCCCAAGGTGTGGAGCATCTCCAGCCACCTATACTCCATATCCGCTACACTCTCCCCCACCCTCCTGAGCTCGCGTCCTCGTGAGCTAGCACAACCCCCAAACCCGCAGGTTTTACAGGCTAGTCACACGCGGCCAGTGGTCTAAGACCTTCGGGGAAGACAACGCCAAAGAGTGTAGTCACCCGGATACGAACCAAGGACTTCCAAGGTTCCTTGGCCGGCTTGGCTACCACTATAACACTCGTGAAAAGGCAATACCCGGGATGCAAGGGATGGCATTCGTAAGCATTATATTGTAGCCCAGGATGTGGAGTATCTCCAGCCATCCGTGGGTTCTCCGCGTAGATGTCCCAAGGTGTGGAGCATCTCCAGCCACCTATACTCCATATCCGCTACACTAGGTGGCTGCCGTGGCACACTGGAAACCACCCACACACCTAACCGCCCTTCGCTCCTTTATGGGACTTGCACAATCGGAGATTCATAAAACATTTCTCGCGGATTGCTACACCCCTTACCCACCTTACCAAAAAGGACATCCCTTATCATTGGACAAATGAATGCCAAGACGCATTCATAAAAATAAAAGAGGCGCTGACTCACGCCCCAGTTCTCGCACTGCCAGATTTCTCAAAACCCTTTGAAGTTGTCTGTGATGCTTCAATCGAAGGTCTTGGAGCAGTCCTCATGCAGGAAGGCCGCCCACTAGCCTATGAAAGCAGAAAGTTAGCACCCGCTGAGCGTAARYACCACACAGGAGAACAAGAGYYATYAGCTSTGGTACACGCACTCAAAATATGGCGGTGCTACCTAGAAGGTCCAGTCTTTACAGTTGTGACTGACCATAACCCCTTAGTACACTTAAATACACAATCAAACCTCTCCAGACGTCAGGCCCGCTGGATGGAATATTTGCAGCGCTTCACATTTAACTGGCTTTACAAGCCTAGCAAAGACAATGTCGTGGCTGATGCCCTTAGTCGCCATCCAAACTCTCAAACACTTAAACTATGTGCACTGCTTCTGTGCATGCAAACCCGCAGCAGCTCACGCMTGCAACAAAAATTCCAATCTACGCAAGCACAAACAATAAACAAACGCAAACTCACCCAGCAGCAACCTCAAATGAACAAAAGAGTTCACTTCAACCCGGAGACAGACCATGCCTTCATTGACCCAGACTCTCATCATCCCCTGTTTGAGCAAAACACACTTGCGCCCGAGGGTCAGCGTGGCTCAGCGTGCGAAGCTGAACATGGCTTGTCTYAAAGGGGCTTTAGCGGTGTGACGGAACCCTCCACGGATAGCTCTCCCGCCGTTGAGGTGGAAGACGTCCTGGGTGGAGTTCGGCGTGCATACAGGGATGATCCACAGCTAACAGAYAGAAACTTTACCCGCCATCTTAGGAGATTCAATGGACTTTGTTATTTAAAAGACAACCGCCTAGTGGTCCCAGATGACCCTCTCATTAAAAATGCCATCATCTATGAATGCCACGACAGACCCCATGTTGGACATGTGGGCACACTTAAAACCCAAAACCTTGTGGAAAGACAATTTTGGTGGCCAAGAGTCCAAAAGGACGTACGTAAATACGTACAAGCCTGTCACTCCTGCCAAGCCAACAAAGGATCAAACCAAA